AGGTGTCAATCATCGCCAATAGCGACCCTAAACAGTCTACCATTAAGTTGGTCATACACACAACACATAGTATTTTATAGTAGGAAACTGTTTGCTTATGAAGTTTCGGACAATGAGCACGATTGACCCGCAAAGCAAACAGATCTCGAAGTATTGATATCAAGGTTTTAAACAAAGCTGTATATGATCGTCTAACCAGTTATATTTACCAGCAGTAGAAGAAGATTTACTATGTTGTACAGAAGTACTCCGTTAAGATCTAAGCAAGTGCATACGAATCTGATTAATACAGGGCTTGCGTATACTGTGTCACATGCTTTCGATTTCCATGTAGGCTTTAAAAGCGGTTTATGGTACATACTTTCTTTTTGAATCCACTTGTGAGATGTAAAATTGAACGTAACTTTCTTGCAAATGTACACAAGACTACAAGAATGGAGTTGCTATCTCAGAAAAAGGAAGCGAATATTGTTATAAGATTTTTCTATTTCTTTACGTTCGTCTTTAAGAGTAGTATACTTCCATCCATTGTATTTTAAAACAAAAAATATTGAAAATTGATGAGTGTGATGTGTATATTATTACTTTAAATCTTGAAAGCGATTTCAAGAAAGACGTGAGACCTTCGCAACACTACTTCCGCATTAAGGAAAGGAACTAGAAACATTCTCTATCTAACAAACCAGAAAGACTATAGCTCCGTACTTAGCACCAAATTTTAAACCTTCCTAGGCATCGTTATTCATTATTTTATGTAAATGTGACAGAATCAAAAAAATTCATAGGAGAATAAAGATATTTTTGCTCTCGCATAGCAGAGTAAACAAGAATCACCAAAAGAGTGTGTCCGGGTGAGTAAAAGGCACAACACAGATTGGTCTGCTCCCTAAATTCTCTATCTTCTTTTGCACTTCTTTCTGAGCGCGTTGCACGCATAAAGTAACATATTTCAAGGCCAAGCGTGAAATGACCACAGACATCTTACCTCACAATATCCTCTTAAAACAAAGGATATTTTACGTTCATTTAATGTCGGGATATATTTGAATTATTACGAGAATATCCACCAGGAGCAAACGACCCTTCTCCATTTCGCTTAATACACTTATAAGGATTTTACAAAATAAGTGTTTATATGGGAAGTGCGCGAAAGTGAAAAATGTGTGATTGGACCAAAAATCCCACCAAAAAATATCTCAAAATTATTTGATCCAATCTTTAGGTTGAACACATGGAAAGGACACAGACAAACACACAGATAAGCTTAGATCAATTCAGAAAGTGATTCCAATAAATAATAAAAGATGGGTTTATATCAAGATTCTTTTGTTACATACATCCGGACTAATTTACACCATTATTGGTGTAAGGTCATACGCCTCACCATACGCCACGTGCCTCTAGCATAATTAGACATATCTATCATATCTATTCTCAGGTTTCTCTAAGAAACCTTCTTTCGCTTACTTTCGCTCCTAGGGTGAACCTGATTTTTAACCTAATTTTTTTTTCTTCTTTTCCCCTATCGCTTACGTTGTTTAGCATTTATATTCCGATTGTGTCGATTGTTTTGAAAAAGAGAAAAAAAAAAAAGACCGGGAAAAATAAATGACGAAAAACATATTAATTCGACGAGTACATGCTTCCAGACTTAATAGCCTTAATAAACGCTTACAGCATTTTACTATAATTTCATTATAATATTTTAAGAGGTCGCCATAAAAAGAAAAAATGTATTTTTTTTTTTATTTTGATATATCTTGACATGTTCAAAAATTTTTCATAAGCGACCGTACGTACTGCCTACAATCGCAATCTCATCTACACGCAAATATTATATGTAGGAGCAGTGTATGCATTGTAATGTAAGTAATCAAGCTAAGCATGCAAACTCATGCCATTTGTTTTAAAAACAGGATGTTACATATATATGTACATTGTATATGGAAGAAAACTGAAAGAGCCCCGAATCCTTTGTAAACGTCCAGAAGGGTAGTCTAAAATTAAAATATATTCATTTATGAGTAATAATTGTTTGCATTTTTTTTTTTTTTTTTTTTCATATTCTTAACTGCAAACACATGAAACTCATTCTCTTGACCACGTGTGTTTGCTTTCAGCCCAATTTTTTAGTGGCTTTTCTGTTTTAGTAAAGTTTATACTTTGGATTTTCATTTTCCCTCGAGATTATATTAGCGTGCTGTTGACATTTACTTTCGAAACCATGACTTGTTTGCGAGAACCACAAATATTCACATACAATCTTACACATTTGTTGTTCGCCGTACCACATCAGGGGTAAGAAAAGTTTACAAAAAAGAAAAAAAAAAAAAAAAAAGAGAAAATGTTTCCTAAAATATTGAAAAAATGTTATACAATTTATTCACTATGCGAGAGGCAACGAGGTTACTGAACTTTATTATTATTATTATTATTGTTGTCGTTGTTGTTGTGTGTATGAGTGTTTTTTTTTTTTTTTGTTGTTCTATCAACACTTCACGCACAGGTTTACCTGTGCGAGAGAAATTTGAATTTAGAGCTCTTGAGTACTATATGGCTCTTAGCAGGAAAAAAAAAAAACCAAAAAAAATTAAGGGAACATTAAACAATTTAAAGAATTAAACTTGTCACTAAGATAGCGAACACATTTTAATATATTAATTAAGGCAACAAAACAACAATTATGAGTGCAATATATGCCTTAAAGCAAATTACGGCAGATCGTCACTTCAAGAAAATATATATATAAAAGTCGCAAATTTTTTTTTGTATATTTTGAAAAAAAATAGTTGGCACTCCTCATTTTACCGCCCACAAATTAACTTGCAGATAAATTATGCGGTTTATCTTCAATTATTATCATTTAATTCAATTATTATTATTATTTATAAATACGTAGTTATATTGCCTAAGTATGAAAACTTATAAACAAACACATATACTCGTACTTATTTCCCCTATTAACATATTTATTTATTTTATTTTATTTACCTAAAGTATAAAGTATATTTTATAAATAGACACACATTGTACATAACACGCTAAACTCATTGATCCTCCATAAGCGTGCATAACTTTTTACATACACATAAATATAGACAAGCGTAAACCATGTACTCAATCTATTTATCATTTCCCCATGTTTACGGTTTAGATGAGGATCCCTTGTATTTGCAACACAGAGACTTGTGTCTAATACTCACGTAGCCGTTTACTGTACACGAAGGGATAACAAATGCTTGTCGAATCAATAAGAAACCAACCATCATCTCTATAGGAACTGTAAATGAATGGCTATGAAAATGAATTAATTAATACAACATACATTAATATTCAAAAAACATGTTGACTTCGATGTAATAAAACTTATTAGATATTAAGTTCGTACTAACATGTTTACCAAGGCTAATGTGCCCCCGTGTTTTTACTAAATTATGTGCCAAACAGCAACCCCCGCTAACATAGTATAAATAGCATGGCCAATCAGTTCTACGAAGAAACGATTATCGGCCTTACAGCCATAACTTAGGATCGCCTACCGTTGCTCTTGAGATTAGGAAACGATGAGCGTCAATAATAATGTGAAAGCGAGGTTAGAGACTTTTCTTCCCTGCTCCGACGGTGATGCCCGTTTGATCTTTGCCCTTGCACTCACCGTCGCCAGCGCTTAGAGAGAGATAGAGAGAGACCAGGAGAGCAAAGAGAGGCCGCCTTCGTAGGCTAACGCATACGGAGACATATCGTTTACTATATTTATATTAATAAATGCCACGAGAAGGTTAAACGACCAGAAATTTTAATTGACGAACCGGGCAACAGTAAACAGGCGATATTCTCCGCAACAAATCTTCTGATAATGCATACAGTGTCGTGTCTGAGCTGACTCGCACAAAATGCCACGTCACAATCGTAAAGTAGGAAAATTTTGGGTTTTTGTAATTTACACAACTACACGTATATTAACATATTTATAATACCCTTGGGCGGTTGTGTGTAACATTGAGTAGAAATTGGCGGGCACTTTATGGCATAAATGAATTTAGAGTCATTTTCTGCTTTGATTTAGTTAGCTCCGTCCATCCATCTGGCTGTTGATGTATTTTGTGTTCAATCTACAAGGAATAAATTTTTTTTTGAAATTCGATCCGCTAGGACGCTATTAATCGAACAGTTTCTACGTCGACTTTTTACGTAAAGCGAATAGCGCGTTATTAGAAGAAATTTGTATTTATAACATTTCTCGATAATGATCGTTTAAAGATTATTACCTACAAAATAATACAATGGCTTCATATTTTAAGAAAGAATATCAAAAACTGCAGAAGTAACAAAATCTAAATAGATCCCCTGCTCTTTTAAATTTCAACAATCGAGAACGACGAAGAAACATGAAAGCTTAATCGGCTGAGAATTATTAATAGAAAAATAAATAGATAGATAGAAGTCGTTATTAAAGGAAGATATAAAATATGTAAATATATATATATATATACAACAAAGATAAATAGTTAGATAGAAGTCCCTATTAGAAGAAGACATAAAGTGTTTATACGTATATGCAACGTGACTTGACTTTATGTCGCGCTTCTGCAAGTTGTTAGAGCAGCGACAACCATTTAAAAAAATGTTTTTTTTTTTTTGTGAAAAAAGAAAGCAGTATATGAGATCAATTCAAGTTTATTTTTGTGGGTGTATGCGATGATATTCTTGGAAAGAGTAAGCGGGCTCGTCTTGTACTGAAGACATTTTTAGTGCTTCGATCTAAAAAATTTCTCTCCAACCTTTAGCAAGAACGCTTGTGTATATGTAAAAAATTCACTCATGTTTTCTATAAATTAATTTGCTTTTTCAACAAACAGGAATATTTATATATATATATAAAAGAAAGAGATCAAATACTTAAGAGATTATAAAATTCTATATATAGATGTATTTATATATTTTTTAAGAAATTATCTATGCTACCTGTATAAAAATTAAAAAAACTTTCTTCTTTTCAGTTCGTATGTTCATCTATATGCTTTGCCGAAATCCGAAGGGAATTTTATCCTGGTAAGTGCAAAATGAACCTGTTATTCAAGTAATGTTATTACTACAATTCCGGGAGAGATACTTACACATACATGCATTGACATTATTTTTATTATATTTATGCAGATATCTCATGATATCTGAATATTGAAGATCTTAGACCAGTTAAGTCAAATTTCAAAGAAGCTAAGCTGACCAATTTTTTATCCAATGCATTCAATCAATTTTATTTCTCTACTCTCTCTAGCTGTTTGAGAAAATGATTTTAATTTCATTTATTTTTTTTTTTTCGTCCTTTTTTTGTTGCTTTAGATTGCTACAATGTACGTATGTGCTGTGTGCAAATGAAAAGAAGCATTTTAAAATCTTATTTTACACAAGTCTTTTGAATTATGATATATTTTCCTTTTAAGGGATTTTCTGGGATTTTTGCTCAGAATTTATATACGTTTAACTTATAATGTCAATGAGTCGTATCTTATCGAAGAATTTTATAGTGAACGTAATGTGAAGGGAAAACTACAAAGGCTTGTAATCTTTGCTGTAAGACCTGATTATCCTTTATTTTTATTCGTTTTCTGCACTTTATACTGTTTGCTTATTATCATCAATAGTCAAGTTTAGCTTACATGGAATTTATTCATTTATTCATGAGTGAATATCCTTTGTTTCTTTGCATACAATCCTTAATAGATGCTTAACGTTTAAATCAAAACTCAAGAGATTTCTTTTCTAAGATTGCACGTCTATGCATTTGTTTTTGTTACTTTCTTCTTTTTCTTTTTCGATTTTTTTTTTTTTTTTTTTTTTTTTTTTTTTTTCTTGGATTGTGGCTAAATAAAAACAGATATAAGCAAAAATGTATATCAAATGCATATCAAATTATATTGATTTGTGAGCGTTGAAATTGAAGTTAAGAAAATAAATGTTTAAGCTTTAAATGTAAACATAATCCAATCCTTAAAGGGATTACTCCAAACAAGGAATAATAACAGTAACGCCTCTCCTCAAAAGTAGCGACTTTACTTAAATTGCTATTCCTTTGCCAAATTTAATTAACAAATGTAACTATTCAGTGACATTCCCCTGGCATATTATATATTACTTCCCATTCGTTTCTTATATTTAACAAAATTTACCGTAAATTAACAAAAAATTATAGATCGAGAAAATATTGTGGCAACCCTTGCTCCTATCTATTTCACTTATATAAAAATACTCAAGTCCAAGCAACAGCAAATGTCAATAGAAATTAAGGATAATTTGAATTTATTAGGTCGAGTCATAAGCAACTTCCGATGCGGATAGATAGAATCTATTGTTCATAGTTACCCACTATAAGTCGCAGAATCAAACGAATTTTTGTTCCCGCTATATAGATGAGGATTCAGTTAGTCTTCTAGCAATTGTTTGATATGATGTATGTTGCACTGTTGTTGTTAATCTCTGAAATGGAGAATCCAAAAGGGCATATTCGCCATGTAATGCTTTGGGAATTTAAACAAAGCGCTAAGGCGCGAAAAAATATACAGCGTATACGATAAAGGACTGATAACTGATTGGGCAGTTAAAAATTGATTTGTCAAATTCCCTTCTGGAGATACGACCTTAAAAGACGGGACGTCCTTCCGACTTTGACGACCACCTTTTAAAGGCAATATTGGAGGAAAATCCGAGCTATAGCAAAAAAGTTGATTACCTCATAGTCAACTGTTCAATTAATATACTTTTCTTGTTTAAGGGGAACAAAATAAATGTCTGTTAAAAAAACGGAGGTTACTTATGACTCGAGCTAATAATTTGGCTCTGAACTGTTCAAAAGCGTTATCTTCGAAGTTGAGTCTTCGGATTTGTGCAGAGACGCTTTCTATTCATAGCTGAAGGTAGAGTCGTTTTATGATGATTGGCAAGCATAAGGTGGCAGCTGGACTTGGCCAGGTATGAAAAGGACTACGGTTCCTCTTCGTAATGCTAATGATTTCTACATTTGTTTCTATTTTTATTATTATTTATATACGGGGTGCAACATCAAGAAAGACATAAGATAGGCCTAACTTTTATTATAACGAAGAATTGTATAAAGGCAAGATGGAAAACTTGCATAATGAAATTTTAATTTAAAGGCGGTTTTATATATTTTGTAGCACGCATTCTTCCCTAAAAGCAAGCTGTGAAAATAAAAAAAAACATGTAAAAACACCATATTAGGTTGAACACAAGGAAATAAAACGGACAGATGGACAGACGAACAGACAAGCTAAATCGATTTAGAAAGTGATGCTGCCTTGATCGGCGCAATAACAGAAGGACGTATACCAAAACCTTCCGTTTATTACATTCATCCGTATAAACTTAATATACTCTTATACTTAAATGCTAAAAGGTATAATATATTTATAGGCGAATATGAATTAACAGCAGATAAGACTTAGTTCTCACATTGTTGTCTGTATTTTTGCCAATTTAACGGCAAAAGAAGAGTTGGGAGGTGTTTACCCAATAGCAGCCAAGTGAAGACACATGTCGCTGCCTATTAATTAGTCTTCTTCATATAATAAGATTTAAGTTTCGATTCCTAAATGGTGAAATCTCCATCAACCTACTGAAGCACAAATTTCGAATTTAATAAATTTGTTTGTGTGAATGCGTATATCGTTTAATATAATTTATTAATAGATAAAGGTGTTGCAAGTGAAGTAACACGAGTAAATCACTCCCCCCACCTTCCTCCCTGACAAAGAGAGTAGAAATAAAAGATCAACTCATTTCGAATCGAACGGTGGAAAGTTGTTGACGCTATATGTTTTAAGACAAAAGATCTTGCATTCACTTAGGATGAGTAGAACATGTTCGCTCGCTGCAAGGCTTAAAACGCAAACTAGTTTGATTTGAATAATTATTTGCATATACTTCAATTTATGTATTCTTGTAGTAATCCTTTCAGATAGTTAATAAAAAAAATTTTATATTTTTTCAAAACATTTTACCTAAGGTTAAACAACCGAAGCAAATTATTTCATAATAATTAACATTACATGTCTTTATTACTCATACATACAACTGTTGAAGCTATTGATATATATATATATGGAATAATAATTATTGCATACAAAGGCTCCCTAAGCAGGTAAATGGACTTGTGCATTAACATATGAAATGTGTGAATGTTGGTATTCAAAGTTGATATCATGCTAAGGCGATTCACATCATCAATAAATTGTTGTTAGAGCAAATGTTTGAACTTTTTTGGTATCAAGACCATGTTGTTATTTATATAAATTACTTACGAGTGGGGAAGTTTCAAAATTGAAAATTAACACACACACACACACACACACACACACACAATTTAATGATTAATGCATTAAGCATTTTCCTATTATTGAACCAAAACTAAATGTCGTAGGAATGAAAATTTCTCTTCAAATAAAGATTTAAGTTAAACATCTTTCATAAGAAGATCTTTAAGTTTCTTATTTACTTGGCGTCATTATGGGGAACTATAATTATAATTTCAAAAGATACTCAAGGATAAAGCTGGTTAAAGGAAAGATCTACTTAAACCCGACATTGTACGGACGTCTCTTAATCAACCGTTAGACGAAAAGCCATGTCTTTAGTGTTCTGGCACATTTTGAAAGGTTTTGCTAGAAACAAGCTTTTAATGCCTTTAGACTTTTTTTAAGCTATGGTAACACAACATGTCCAGGCAGCTTACTCGAAAATTCTAGTAGTTTATACAAAAACCTTTTTAATTTTATTGAAAGAATTTTTTATTAATAAAAATAAAAATTTCGAAACAAAAAAAAGTATTTCGAAAAGCTTTCGTATAGCAAACCTAACGAAAGCTTTAAAAATGCTAGAGTAAATTTTGTCTTCAACAGCGTTAACATATTTTTTATTGTTATCATGCAATTACTCACAAGTAATTCAAAGCTTATTCTTAAAAGCTTTTAACGAAAAAAACCAGCCTAGATTTGAAAAAAAAGCAAGTATATGGATGGAATAAACTAAGCACAGAAGTCTTGCTCGTCTTTATGGCATCCTTTTCGATTAGATTGTTTGCCGTGACATAAATTGAAAATAAACCGGCAGGTTTGTGTCCGTGTGTTTATGTGTATGTGTATGTATGTGTATGTGTGTGTGTGTGTACAATATTGAAAATAAATCCCTAGAAAAAAAAAAAGGTCCCCTTTGTATTGTTATAGATGTACATATAGACATATATACATACATGTATAAGACGATTCCACCATAAAAAAGGTTATAAATGCACGTAAGCAGAAAACCTCTTTACAGATGAATAAAATTCAATATTAGCGGCAGCAGTTGGTGTTATTGTAATGGAAAAATCACTAAAGACAAAAAGTTGATTACAGTTAAAAAAAAGCTAAAAGATTGTTGAAAATAAACACACAATCAAACATATGTTAAGATGATTGCAATCCATGGCAAATGCAGTAAAAGCAAGCAAATGATTATTATATACTTTAAGGAACTTTTTAACAATCGCATACTAAGCTCCAGATGTGCTGTTCGTGTAAGGCACGGCTCGTATGCATAAATAAAACACCATAAATGTTACAAATTTTTAACAATTATGGATACAAATCAATAAATATAGGAGATGGGAAAAATCGCTAACGCAATAGTTAATAAAACACCAACATGCCGCATCTATAGCCGTTAAATCGACACTCCAGTTTATTACCATTTCTTAACAGATAGTGTTGGGAGCATTTTTTGAAAATTGATAAAAAGCTTAGGAAATGTTGTAAAAGTTTTATTATTGGCACACCTTAAGGCTGCAAGTAGAAAGCTTACAAAGTGTGCTTTTCGTAAATGCTTAAAAGCTTAAGCCTGACATACTTTTATGTCTAATGACATGCTTTTGTCTAAAAAGTTTTCGTTACACAGAAATTTAACAGAAATTTCTATTAACAGGTAAGCTTTTAATGCTCTTATCCAAGTTAGTTTAGGACCTATTCGAGTTAAATGTAGATTTCAGCAAAAGCAAAGCATAAGTTAGTTCTCCCTTTTAAAGTTCTTTGAAGGTTTCAAAAAAAGGTTTGCAAGTTTAGTTTAGAAGTGACATGAAAAGCTTTCTACATAGATGTTTGACGGTACTTACCTAACAGAAATACGGTGAGAATTAGCCACTTTCGTTTACACATATTTGCCAGATATCTAGTCGTTGTTCTCGTGAGTTATATTTGACTTGAAACTAAAATAGAGAAAAATTTAAAAAAAAGTATTGTTTAAATAAGACGATATAATTAATTTGTTTTTTAAGCAAAGTTTAAAGTCTAGATTAATATAAAAATTACTATCGACTTCTAGATCTACGATGAATGGTTTACCTCTCTCTGGTGAGATCTACTGGGTAGATCTCTTTAAAGCTTATCTTAAAGTCGCTCATGTGAATTGGCCTAAATAAGTCCACTAAACAATTGTATATACCTAGCTCCTAGTAAGTATATTACCTAAACTTTCGATGAATGCTGTAGAACATAGTTTTTAAGTTATTAGAAACTATACTCAAAATTATTTGCGGGATTTTCGATATTTTCGTTGGGGAATGAACTGTTCAGTGCGTTATCGCCAAAAGAGAGAGCTTTTCATATTCGATAATACTAAAAATATTAAAATTGTATGTATAGTTGCTTGGCATGATAAACCACATGCAACGTTTATGGCCGCGAAAATTTAGGCAGAAAGTTTAAAATTAAACTTATTTTTATTTGATCTCTGTAACGGGCCTGCTTAACCTATCGTGTGTCTTATAATTCGTATCAGATGTCGACATAACATTTGGTGTAATTATAGAATTCTTCGAAATATCATGCAGAAATAATTCGTACGTCTGCCCATTTGTAATGTACTGTTTTTAGAGATCCGTGATCAACTTGAGATTTTGACTAGAGCTAATGATGTCCGTCTACTGAACTGGCCGTCACTGTAGAGAAACACAGTGCACAAGCACTCAGCTTATATTAATGGAGCAACCTTGATATAGTCTGCTATACGTAACTGTGTGCACGCCTACAATTAGATGGTTCGCAAGAAGTTTTCACCTCAGGTCATCTGCTAGCTTCATATTTCATAAAAGATAGTATCAGGTTTTCTCTCAACTCATGCAAGTCTCAGCGATTTTATTATTTCTGTTTAATACTGAATCAAAACAAAACCTGGACAACTTGAATGTCGTCACAATTGCAGACTTTCTACAAATTAAGTTCCACCTCCGGGTTCTTGTTAAACATTAGAGGAATTGTTACAAAAGTCTAATTGACCATACAGCTAAGCCTCTCTTCCTTTGGATAGATAAATAACTGGATATAAGGGAATCAGGTGAGACTAACATTTTGATTAGATTGTTATAAAGTATATGAGGTACTTGAAATGCATTTCAAGTTCAAATACATTCTTAAACTACATCCATTGCTTTAACACTTTCTGATTTTGATTCAATCAATTTTGCAAAACTGTAAAAACTATTAAATAACATATGCCTGAAGAAAACGAAAAAAAAAAATTTTATTTTTTAAATATTATTTTTTTATAAAAAGTTAAATAAGAATTTACAAAACTTGGGAATCGATCTGATTGCTATTGCTTGCTTACATACAGAACAAATTCATTGGTAAAGTTTCAAGATTTATATATTCATTGAATCAATCAATTTAATTAAATCTCCGAAAATGTGCATAAAACAATCTAGATAGGTAACTGTAACCGTAAATTTAAACGCTTACATTATCATATTTTCTATGTATTATGCCAATGCAATTAAATTGCCAACAACAAAAGGCCAAATAATATTTAGTTTATGCATAAATAAAATATGAATTTCTCTCTCTCTCTCTCTCTCTCTCTTTTAGTATGCACAGTGCAAATATGATATACAATGAGACGTTGCCAGTTGTTCATATAGTTCATGTTCTTACACTAACATGTTTCTATGCCGGTCTGCTGTTAGAATATTTCAAGTTTCTAAAACACAGTATCCTTCTTTCTGTATTAGCTTAATCTTTATTTCCGACTCCATATTTTCGTAGATCATAGTAGAAGGAGGAGGCAAACAACCGTAGGCCAAGCGTTATCCTGCTCATTTCTTGAAGATTTTTTGTGTATGTATGTATGTATGTATGTATGTATGTATGTATGTATGTATATATGTATGTGTATGGGTGTGGGCGTCTGTGTGAGTGCGCCTGTGTGTATATATAGTTGTAGAAGAGTGTTATTTAATTTAATTAAAAATTCAAACTTATTTTCCTTAAAGTTTTGCCTTAGTTTTGTGTTATAAAATTTAATATTTAAACTAAAGATATACATATATATATATATATATATATATATATATATGTGAAGCTTTTCAAGTTTTTTTTTTTTCTTAATTATTTCAACTTTTATGCATTTTTCTCTTGATTAATTTTTGTTGCTACCAAGAAATTTTTCTTTTATTTTATTCAAATAAAGATGATAAGTATATATTTTGTTTAACCACAAAATAATAGCTTAGAAACCAGACCGGGGCACACTTCAATTTCATAATTTCAAAATTATTAAGTTCATCTACTACTCCGTTTTGTGTTTGGCTTAGAGCTGGCTATAAATTCTGTCTTATAACATTAATTTATATTAGAAAGTAATACGAAATTCGTTATGCGGATGACACTACGTATGAGTGATATATAAATAAAATAATATAGAATACTTATACGGTCGAGAGCAATTGATAGTTTTTTGCAAGGCATTGATGAAAAGACATTGATTGTGGAAAAATTGATTCAATATATTATTATTATTATTATTATAAATTTTTAGCCAGAGAATAAATTCTAAGACTAAAGTCTTAAAGCACTAGCATCTAAGGCTTTCGGCTTTGAGAGATTTGAACCCACGACCATTGAGTTGTTGGTCGAGACTCTTGCCTACTCGGCCACTCAGGCGGATTGGAATATATATTGATCAAAATATTTCCTATCGTTCTCTACAAGACATTTTGTCATATTTCTACTAACATGGAACTTATATTGATTTGGCAACGATCCAATCGTGGACCCATTTTCACACTTCTTCAACTGTGCGGACCCGCATGCCAGCCAAGCCATATCGCAGCAATCTGAAAAACTGATGGAGTACGGCGGGAGTGCCAGAACTTCCCATTCAAGCTGCAACAGTGTATCCCAGAATAACTCTTGCAACAAGTGGACAAAATGCCTTTGTCCTCCTTTCGAATCGTTCTCATCGCATATAAACACCGGTATTTTCCATTTCTTTATAATTTTTAACTGTATAAGGGGCCTATTAAAATTAACGTAAACAGCTAAAAGTAGGTGTACAAGAAAGTTCTCTATATTACAAGCGATTACTCTCATACCAGACATATCGGACGCATTGATTTCTTCCAAAATTTTGATGATCACACGATATAAGTTTCTGTTGTTTAAAAGCTTTCGTTCAATGCATCTCAAACGATAAGAAGATGGATATGAACATTAAGTTCGATGGAATTGGAAAGCAATTATCCACTACGAACGTACTTGTAAAGCTTAGCGAAATTGTTGTATTTGAATGATAGAAAGCTTAGCTAATCAAATTAAATGAAGGGCCTTGAAGAGAATATTCATGGGTAAAGGCACTCGATAAATGTTTTTGCTGCTTAACAACATCGATCTCCATGCAACAAGAACAAACCAGAAAGTGATCCTCAATTCCGAATTATTTTCTAGACTTGGCTTCTCCCGATTATCATTTGTGCGTAAATGGATCGATGACTATTTCGTCACGAAATCACAAAGTTTCGACCACAGTGGCGTCCGTAATGTGCCCAATAAGGGGCAAAAGGCAAGAAGACCCTTTGGTGACTTCTTTTATGGAATCTAAGTTTAAAAAAACAAATAAACTAACGTCTACTAAAGTCTGATATATCATTAATTTTTAATTATTTGGTTGACATTTTTACCAACAAATACTGCAGGAAATACTCTAAAAATGTAAAACGTCCGTCACTCAATTGCCATTTGCTACGTCAACAATCCGCTTCTCCGGATTTGCATTGCCACTCATATATCTTATACTCGGAATTAAGTCGTTCACTCATCGAATCCTAGCCGATACGTAGCTCATTTCTCTTCTAACCTATACGACTATAATGTTTTTATTCACTTTAGTTCAACTCGATCAACATCGAACTCTTATGCTAATTTTAAATCAATTTTGCATACGAAATAAAAAAGGAGAAAAAAAAAAATATATATATATAAAGGCTCTTAACCTAACACAACCATTTCTAAAGTTCATTGTCCTAATCAAAGCAACAGACAATGTCATGGATGTATGCGCACCAGTAAACTTTCGTTTATTCATAGCACGGTTAAAAACGATAATTTAATATCATAAGCAAAATTATACTTTGTAAGAAACAAAAAAACCGTGTGCATCAATATCTTTATGTGCACAAATTATTTACTTTAAAATAATGAAAAAATAGATGTCGAAATTTCCATAATTCATGTTAGAAAAAAACTGGTTTGTATTTTGAAGTTTTTAAATTTGTGATTATATCAAATGACCACATGAGAGTCGTTGAGTGATGTGGGCTATAAAGAATTACACTCGTATATGGTCGCCCATGTAGTGTATCCTGTAATATATGGTCACTTGTTGTTGTGTTTAGCTCAGTTATGTCATCATCATATGAAGTTGATGATGATAAACTTCATCCCCATTATTCTTCTTATTCTTCTTCTTCTTCTGCTTTTTTTTTTTTTTGTGTCTCTTTTCTCTCTTAAATGATATAAGCCTGAAGCTTATTTACTAACCAGCCGCACTTGGTGAGCTAGTAGAGCCAACAAAAATTGTACACTTGAGCTCTTTAATAATCTTTTGGCAGATAATTTTCTTGCGGTTAACTACAGAAAAAAATTGCATAATAGAATGTGAACGTACACATTACGTATACGGGTCATATAAACGTTCATTCGTATAGTCAGACTTTTGAAGAGAAATGCTTAATGACCTTTCTCCAAACACAAGCATTTAACTTATGATGGATATCCAACAACAACACTGTTAGCACATTTTTCCGTTATTTTATTATACCATCAGTGAGGACATATTAATATTTTGATAAGCGACGCAATCAGGGCATCTGAACATGTCCGTCCGCGTGCAATCTCTGCCGCAGAGCCAGGCGTGTACGAGTCGTGACTACCA